GGCGGCGCGCAGGCGGGCCATGTCCCGGTGGGTGGTCTCGCTGACGAAGCAGTACAGCACGGGGTCGGCCACGCAGTTGAAGGTGGTGAGCAGCAGGGAGAAGTGGTAGGCGTTGAAGGCGCTCTGGGCGAACTGGCAGCTGGACTCCCAGAGGCTGCGCACGAGCAGCAGCACGTGGTAGGGCAGGAAGCAGGCCAGGAAGATGACCACGGTGCTGAGCACCAGCCGCTGGATCTGGTCCTTGCGGCTCTGCTGGGTGCCGTGGCTGCGGCGCACGGCCCGCAGGATGCCCCGGTAGGCGGCCAGGAGCAGGCAGAGCGGGAAGAGGAAGCCCACCAGGAAGCGGTAGTAGTTGATGTTGCGCTGCCAGGGCTCCAGCGGGTAGTGCTCGAAGCAGACGCGGTGCTGGTCCTCGTCCTCCACCACCTCCGTGTGCAGGAGGAAGTACACGCTGGCCAGCAGCTCCTTGGCCCAGATGACCACGCTGACGCCCACGGCCGCCTTCAGGGTGCGGAACTGGTGGAAGCGGAAGGGATGGGCCACGGCCAGGTAGCGGTCGATGGAGATGCAGCAGAGGAAGCCCACGCTGATGTAGATGTTCTCGTAGAGGAGGATGCCACACACCTGGCAGGACAGGTCGCCGAACGACCAGTTGTCGTGCTGCAGCACGTACTGCAGCCAGAAGGGCAGCGAGCAGATGTAGAAGAGGTCGGCCACGGTCAGGTTGAACAGGTACACGCCCAGCTCGTTCCGCGCCTTGATCTGCAGGTAGCCGAAGTAGAGGGACAGGCAGTTGGCCGGGAAGCCCACCACCAGCACGGTGACGTAGACCACGGGGGCCAGCGTCTGGTGGATGGTGTGGTCGATGGTACAGTTCGGGCGGGAGGTGTCCGCAGTGACGTTCCCCATCTTCGGGCCTGCGGGGGCCTCACCCCTCCTGGCTCAGGAAGTGGGCCTCTCTGCCGCCATGGCCTTCACAGGCTGCCCCTCCTTGGCGGTGGGTGAGCTTCTGAAAGTCAAAGGCGGGAAAGGCTTAGAAGAAGAGCAGCTGACATGTATAAAGCACCTACTGTGTGTCAGGCGCTGTTCTAAGTGCCTCACTTAATCTAGGTCAGTGGTTCCTAACCTGTGGGTCGCGACCCCTTTGGCGGTCGAACGACCCTTTCACAGGGGTCGCCTGAGACCATCCTGTATATCAGATATTTACATTACGATTCATAACAGCAGCAACATTACAGTTATGAAGTAGCAACAAAAATAATTTTATGGTTAGGTCACAACATGAGGAACTATATTTAAAGAGCCAGAAGGTTGAGAACCACTGATCTAGAGGATGATCCAGCCAACCAGCTCCACCTCCACTAGGACCTCTGAACGCGGTTTATGTCTCCCCATTCTCCTTCCCCGGCTGGTCCCTTATTTATGCTCCTGGTCACCACGGCACAGCCCATCCTGAGCCCAGCTCTCCAGGGAACAGCAAGGGCCCAGCCACTATCTTCCTACCTGCTCACAGGAATGGACCGGGTCAGTCAACAGGGAGGCCACCGCCCCGCCTGGGGACCTCCCCGGGCAGCACGGGAGAGGCCCGGCCTTGCCCGCATCCCACGGCGCTCTGGCCAGAAACAAAGGCTGAGCTTCCCTGAGCGCTGCCTGGATTCCGGGGTGTTGTCAGCGGGTGCTGACACTCCGCTCCTCCACGGAGCTTGGGCACCCACGTGGGAGACAGCGCAGGACCGGGCACTGACAGACGTGAGCACCAGGCCAAGGTCAGCGCTGACAAGTCATATACCCTTTCCGAGCCTCAGTTTCCTCCCCTGTCAAGTGAGGATAGAAACGCCTGCCCTCGGGACCAGGATGAGGGCCACAGAAGATGGCGGATGCCAGAGTGCGCGGCACTGTTTTTCTTGCCGCCGAGAGGCGGAGTCTTACATCAGCGAAAAGTTCCTACTGTTGAGAACTTAAAGAAAACCCTGCATAGACAAATACATTTGAATAAGATGGAATAACATTTTTTGTTGTAAGCCTACTTTATAAATCAATATATCAAAGCCAAAGCTTTGAGCTTCTCTATTGATTTAACACTTCTGGTTCAGATGAAAAGTCTGGCTGTGTCTAAATCAGCATCTTTTTCAACCTTTGTTCCCCCCACAATTGCCCTCCCAAGGAGCCCTTTTAGATGTGTCCCCCCACACCCCAGCTCCATGAAATGGTAATACCTCAGGTAAACTGCATATCTGTTTATGTGCCCTTTGGGGGAGGTGACAAATCATTTAATACCTAAGACTAATAATCATTTAATATCTAAGTTTTTTTCACCCCACCCAAGAACCAGCCTGCACCACCCCCCCCCCCTTGAGAATGCATGGTCTCCACCAGGGGGCCTCAAACTACGGCCCACGGGCCACATGCAAATACAAATATTGTATTTGTTCCTGTTTTGTTTTTTTACTTCAAAATAAGATATGTGCAGTGTGCATAGGAATTTGTTCATAGTTTTTTTTTAAACTATAGTCCGGCCCTCCAACGGTCTGAGGGACAGTGAACTGGCCCCCTGTTTAAAAAGTTTGAGGACCCCTGGTCTACACGGTTGCAGATGCTGCATGAGAGGCCTGAATGAGGTGGTGTGGCAGCACCAGCAGATCACCCCTGCCCTTTGCTCTCTCTTCACCATAGTCAAGACCAGAAGAGAAACCCCTCAGCATTCAGGACCCACATC